TAAATAGTATGTTAAAATACAATGAAATTATGTGTTTTCTTATAATTTGGAAACCTCATTAAGGCTTTTTCTTTTTGTAAGTTGATAAACCAATTATACCAACCCTATATAGTAAAGATAATAATGAATATACAATAGTCCCTGTTGCATTTAAGTAAGTACTTTATTCGGTTTCTAAATTGCGTTTTCTTGAATAAAATAACATGGTAAGAATTATATTGGTCACGATTGTCTCGTTTTTTACCGTTTTTCCCCTTTTTCTAGAAATACATACGCTACGGAATTTAATTACAATGGCATTTAAAATATTCATTAAATTTAACTTATACGTCTTAAACAATTCTAATAAAAGATCATTCGTTCTATTCCATACAACAAAGTGATAGAAATAAAACCCTTATAAAGACAATTCTTCCTATATTCTTTTTCTTAAAATTGTAACGACACTTTTATAGATTGATGAGCTGGTTTCCAATGAGATTATTTTAATTGATAGAAGTATAGATATTAGATAAGGAAAACAAACGAATTGTATAAACAAAGTTCTATTTATAACTCAAGCAGTATCAAAGTTTGGCAAACATATGCTCCTAAAATATTGTATAACTTTATTGATATACATGTATTTTATGAATTCAATGATATAATTAAAATCATTTTTAACATGGTTTGATTTTATTCATCATTGACACAGACAAAATCAAGTTTACGCTTACTTTCTTTCATATTCTGTGCGTCTTGGCTTTCGTTTTGCCAATTCAATTAAGTAAAATTTGAATGCATTTTACTATTGCAAATTTATACGCTTACTTCCAGATTATTTATCTCTGAACAAGAGATATTTTTCAAATGCATTCCACACTGTAAGATATAGAGGATATTTGTTTATTTGTGTGTAAGATGAAATTTTATTTCATCGAGTGGGCTTTAAAAACAGTAAATTATTACATGCATTTTGAATCTTTTTACCTTTCTTTAAATTTTGATAAATTTTCTGTCAAGTTTTATTTTTTGTAATATATTTACTTATATGGAGACATACACCTTTAAGAAAAGTCAGTAATCATATATGTCGTTTTAATATTCTCCTTGTTTTCAAGCGCATAACATGAACCTGACAACGACTTTTGTAGGGTTTGCGTTAAAAAACTGGAAATCTCTCAGTAAGAATATAAAAAAATATTTTTAATTCAATAGCTAAATGCTGGTAAATACACATCTGGTGTTAGAAATCCACAGTATATAAATGATTTGAACCCCAACCGGATCTTGTGAGAAGATTTAGCGTCAGCCATATTCTTCCACTTCACTTGTTTACAAAATCGGTGTTTATATTGATACTGATGGACGTTAGGTTAGTAAATCTATATTCATATTGTAAGAGAGAAATTTTATTAAACGTGTAAGTAATGCAAAACATAAACGTTAGCACGAAGGCTATAAAATAATCGAAACTCACGAACTGCTTTCATGTGATCAACACTTAACACAAACAAAAATCCGTCTTATTCCAAGGTTGATTTAGTTAAACATTGAATTGTGTTATCGAACTACTAAAATAATCAATTACAAACCATAATTTAGTCATATGCATAACATATTGCTGTATCTTGAACATAAATTAATGAGTTTTACCAAGGAGGTCATTTCCGTAAACTGAACGTTACTTGCTAGTGATTGTGAACCCTACTTGTGAGTTTACGAATTTTATCTGTACCCTAACTTGTGAGTATTTTTTAAAGATCTGTACCCTAACTTGTGAGTATTTTTAAAGATTTATTGGAGGAAACGTTTACGTTTATTGCGATTGCGAGAAAATATAAATGATTGTAATAGAATTTTAATATATAAGGTGGGATCTAAGGTATTTATCGAGAGTTGGTTTAACTGATACATTTGTTAATCATTTGTGTAATGAACTATATAAGGTTATGTATATTTTTCTTTCAGATCACCATGGAAGAATACAACTGTATATACTGTTCAGTAAAGACCACAAATTTCAACACCATCATTGACCCCATAATTATTCGCCATCCAGACTCCAACTTAAAAATTAGAATAAATCATGATCAGAATTTTCCTACTTAAAAGATTACAACGTCACACCTAATAACGTAAAAGAAAAAAAGAAGTTTATAACACCAATCGCTGAAACACTCTCAATTTAAATTTCAAAAATTCCCGAATATTTTCCATTTAAAAAGATGCCAAAATTGTCAACGCCTATGAAAGATATACATAAATTTTCTGTTACACACGGTATAAATAAAGATCAAAAGGATTATGAGGAAGACCTAAGTACATGTACGTTCTTTGATGATATGCATTTTATAGAAGAACATAAATCTACACAAACTGACACTTGTGTAGTTATTCCAGTTGAGGGCGATTCAGAGGTTGAATATATTTCTGAAATTATTAAACAAATACCGGACGTGTTAGATTATCTTCATTTGGCAGGCAAACGTGAGATGTAAAAGAAGTTCACGTCATTACTCGCTGAAAGGAAATTACCTTTATCAAACATTGCATTTTTGTTTTTTTGCGATGTTGTTGAATGGTTCAGTTTGGACTCAACTAGAGACATGAGATATTCGGAAAATGTGAAACAATTCTGGAAGATTGGGATGAAATTGTTCAAAGGCAAATTTTTGCGTTTTATGTCAGGATGGAAGAATCAGGGCCAGCAGGTGACAGGGGATCTTGATCCTGCACTCTCTGTTATAAACTTTGCTGTTCCGTCACGTTCGTGATTCATATCTCTCTGAAAAATTAAAAGACCTCAGTCCTGGGGTTTTGGATGAAATGATAAAACTGATAAGTGAAAATGACATAGATAAAACAAAGACATTTAAATTATGTGTAAATGGGGAAAAAATAAATATTGGGCTATCAAAACAAAAATATGGAGATGTAAATTTATGGGGACTGGAATGGCCGCCGTCATTGAAAGAAAGAGAAAATAAACTTAAAAGCGACAGTGACATGATAAGCTATTGTATGAAAGTTATTGAGCAGATAGAGCAAAAAGGTGTTGATGACGTTTTAAATTCCTCTGAAAACGAAAACACTGAACTGTTGAATGATGGAAAAAGAATTATATCAATGCTAAGTAAAAGAATACAAGAACTGAGAACGGTGAAACAGGCAAAGACCGTGACACTTGAAAAATTAAAATCTGCATGTACTAGTGAACAGTTGAAGTCAAAGTATTCATATGCATTTAGTGCAATAAAGACTTTCATATACCTGATAAATGTGACCGTCTGTCGTCTGTTAAAATTAATCAATGTTCTGGGAGAAATGATTGCTGTTATTAATGGGGTAGGATATTTGTATGAGAGCGGATCGTCATGCGATTTGTCTGTGCAAGAAAATTACATTTGCCTAACTGGACCTGAACGCATTGATGAGTCCTCGACGTATCCTAATACATCGCAGATAAAACAAATGTCAGACGCATGGCATATCATACGAAACAAGGCGAAAGTAACTGGAAGCACCTGTCATTCTGCTATAGGACTGCGTGGGCTTAAAAGTCAGAAAGAACATTTTGAATACGTTTTTCACGGAAAAGAGAAAATGCAACCATCAAAAGAAGTCAATGAACGCATGCAGTATGGTACAGATAATGAGATAAATGGCATTGCAACTATTGCATCTAAAGTTATACCTATTTATCAACCCAACGCAGTGTTTGTTGAAGAGGGTTGTGAAATCATTAACCATAATGGATACAATTTAATTGTAGTGAGCCCAGACGGAAGTATAAGAAAATCCAATGAACATAATGGTTGTCAGCAAGAAGTTATTTGTGCGGTTGAAATCAAGTGTCCCTTCCCCGGAAAATTATACACAACGCCAGTGTTTTATAAAATGCCATGGTACTACGTATCTCAAATTCTTTTGGAAATGTTTGTACTTAAAACGGAAAAACTTTTATTCGTTTGTTATAGTGAGGAAAGTTCAACTATATTCGAGGCACCATTCGATAATAATTTGTGGAATGAGATATACGATCGCGTGATAAAAATATACGGGACAAGCGATCCGGTTGTTATGAAACGATTGCCGTCTGGAAATGCTGAACTCATAAATAATTTAAAAATGTATTGTACTGAGAAAGTAACATTTATAGCTGAAATTCCGTCAGTGAAAGTTACTCGCAATAATGACCATCAAAACACCACTTCAAACATTGATGACGTAGGACAAAATGAACACAAAGAACATTCCTGCAAATGTAGGAACCGCACTTTGAAATCCTCAGTTACTGAACTAATGACTACATTTCACGAAATGAAAGACTTTCAGAATCACACGATCTGTGCAGACACCTTGCAAGTGAAGTACTTGTCTTTTTGATATCGGATCTGGGCAGGATACACGAAAGAGAAAAACAATATGCTGTGCCTGTTGCATATGCACTGAAAGGATACAGTTTGACATCATCTATTCTAAGACAAATGTTAGATATAGTTTTGAAGAGATGTTTTGAACTGGGTTTATATGTACCGGCTATTTCTTTTGACGGTCAGTGGTCGAAATTGGCGGTTCGTTCAAAAACTAATTTTCCGCTTACTATGCTGCAGTTGCAAAAGGACATATTTAAAGAAGCGAAATCCACCTCCAGGAAAAGCATAATTGATGTGCTCCAAAAGTCTAACAGACTCCAATCTCAGAGTGCAAATGATGTTTTTGAGCAAGCTTGTGTTTACGTGACCACAAATACAGCTGGCAATTATGTTCGGATTGATCTTTACCGTGCTCTAGATTGCGAGCATATATTTAATACATCGGCTGAGTTAAATCGTATGCTTAAATCGAAATTTGTGCGCGCAAATTCTGAAAGGGAAACATGCGATTCAGAAATTATTTCTTCTTCCGTAGCTAAAGTACTTGATAACTTGGCACCAGATATAGCTGATAAATTGGAAAACGACATTGATGCACTACGTAACATTAAACACACAAACATTGACACAACGCCATTGCTGTTTATGAAGATATCTCGTCACTTTTTGAAAATAACATTTCTGAAACACCAGAAGCGGAAAGTGACTAGCTAGCTGAATGTGAGGGCGATATGAAATACTCTGAAAATTCAGGTATCTTGGATAACTTTGTTCCAGAGAGTATTGATTGTATAGGTTTATTGACGGATTCAGTACAGCAGAAAGTATTGGATACATTTGTATCGGATCCAAATATAAAAACAAGTAAATGGAATGTAGTCACGCTGGATATGTTCAAATCAAAATTTCAATCCGAAAATGAAATTTAGCAGGCTTTCACGAAAAGTGAGCTTCAAGTTTGTTTAAAAGAAATGAATATCCCATTTGCTATTTCCTGGAAGAAAGACAAAGTAGTTTCATTAGTCTACAACAGTGTTTCCGGGAAGCCTATTTCAACAAACAGTTCGAAAAGAAGACCAAATAAAAAGGTGGACACGCTCAAAACAATTTATTTACGAGAAATTAAAAAGTTTCCAAAGCATTTATTATCATGCATATATGCCGAATCTCTCTACAAACCTTAACTCAAAGAATGGCAAGACCATTCACCATTTGCGATTGAAACACACATAGATGGTATAGAGACACCGATATCGTGGTACTCGATGCCGGAATACGTCGATGAATCATTCACGTATCTATATGAAATTTTAGACTGCCATCATCTCTTTGTTAACGCCAGAGTTAAGTGTTGCAGCTCTGGAATTAAAGAATGTGGATTAAAACGAGACGCTTGGGTTAAGGTTGCCGAAAATTGCCGAGAAAACGGAAGTGGTTTAAGTTTAGCTCTAGTCAATGAACTAGTTGATAAACAAAGTAATGCATATGCCCAAAAAACATTTTCTCCTGAGGTGGAAAAGGCAATGCGTGAAAACGGAGATACAAAAGAAGCAGATTTCTGTGGTTTAATTCGGGAATGGTATGCAGCCGATGATGAGCCCGGCATTGAGGTAACTGAAAGGATAAAACGCCGTTTAAGATTGCGTGAATGCCTTTTAAAAGACGTTTATTTTGATAAGTTTCCTCCTCCTGGCTCACATATCAAAGAATTACCTCACGTTATGTTTGAGGGTACTTTAACTAACATAGAAAGAAGAATTCAGATCATCCCCCATGTTAAATCTGGAGCATTTAATCCACGAGCATTGGGAAGCCTGGAAGCAGAGAACTTTTTCGGCGAGTTTCAAGAACTTGATCCCAGAGGGTCTGGGGTGATTAAACCTGATGACATACCGAAGGCAATTAGTACAGCGTGTGAATTGATTGGTGCAAGACTTGATCCAAACAGGTTTTATAATTTTATCTTCTTTACTAATTTATTGCTATTAAAATGCCACGATCATCTTTCATTAGAAAGATGGTTCGTCTTTAAAGCACGAAAAGGTTTCTGTAACCAATTTAAATACTAGAGGTCTTCATGCTTTTATTCCAGTTTATTAATGTTTGTTATATTTAAGTGAGTTTTTCTGAAAATGCATTAGTCCGTCTACAATTTCTCACTGACATAGTGTTATGACTTCGAGCTCCAATAACTTCCAGTATTTTTGAGAAAGTTTGTCGTTTCCTTCGAAAGAAAGGGTGAAAACTGTTCGCTATATATAACTTGAAATACTACTTGAAGCGTTAAACCAATTTATTTAAATCATCGATTTATCAATTGTCTTGCACGTTTTTATCCTTATTAATAAATGATTTAATTTAATTTTGTATTTCACTTTCAGAGACTTCTATATGCACACTAGCCAGGCAAAGGTTTACCCTGTTCATCAATTCATGCCTAATTTCGATAAAGAGGAAGCATCCATGTTATATATCACACCTTCTAATGTAACAGAAATCACTCCAAGGCAAGTAAAGAAATACTGTTGTTTTAAAAATATCAGTCTTAACTCCAGATTTTCGTCCCATGAGAATTCTTGAACTTGATTTTTTTCCGACTGTCTATTTTCTTGTAAATTTCTAGAGCAGTCTATTATTCATTTAGACGTCATTTCGTCACCTGGATAAAACGTTAAAGTAAAGCAAAACCTTAGAATGTTAGGACAGTTAATAACGCTAGATTAGAAAAGTTAACGTTTCAGTCACTTCCTGTGGTCGTTCCTTTTAGAAGTTTAAATCATTTATTTTTTTAAATTAATAGCGTCTTTCTATTACTTAGAACACCAATCTGTCAGTATATAGATATAGTGTGAGAAGATATTCAGAATCTTTATAATATATGTAGAGTTTGGTTTTCTGTTGATTGATGTTTGTAAAACTCAAGGGATGATAATCAAAATATCTATAAAGTATATTCTTTTCTTATAGGAATCATTACTTCGACCAACCTCTTAGAGCTAAGCGAAAACATGGGAAGAGAAAAAGTGGAGAAATCAGCAAACCAGCCACGGCATGTAGAGGTGTTCGTCCAGTACGTGAGCATCATAAGTGCGACGAGTCAAAAATTCTGCCACATGTAAGACTTGGGATTGGGCTTCCTGAATAATGAACATTACAATTACGATCAGCTATGTCCATCATAGTCATTTTACTTTTTAAACTGAGTTGATGTGTATGTAGTTAAGACAGACACGTATAGAAAGTATATTATATTTTGATAGTACATGAGTACATGGACATGAGTGGTGATATCTGATCTATCTCAAAAGATATCAGTCAAAAGCAAAGTAATTCAGATTAGAGGACAACGGCTACGGATAGAGTAAACAATCATACAGTGGAAGTTTTTGTGCAAACCTCGAATGCAAAATCTTACCGCAGATCTCACAAATAAATGTTTGTCTTTGGAATTCTTCGCTGTGTACTTTATTTACGTGTAATTTATTTACGTGACGTGTTAGATTGAACCTTGATGGTGTTTTGTAATCACAAATGTCACAAGTTAAATTCTTTTCAAAGTTTATCTGCTTTTCACGTCTGTCACACTTTAATTTTGGTGCACTATAAGGACTCAGATGTATTTTAAGATGTGTCTTCAAATTATGTTTGAACCTTGTAGAGAATTGGCATATTTCACAACTAAACTTGTGCCGCTCCTTGTCCTTTGTAGGGCTGATGTGTAGTTCTGCCTTATCATTGGTACTCGTATCAATAAAATCAGAATGACGTATCGGGGATATAGCTACCTCATCAACAATAAGGCTAAGATCCAAAGGCTCCTCTGGCTGTTCATCAGCACTGGAGTGTTGAAGAAGATGTTTTTTAAGAATAAACTTGTTGCCAAAACTTTTCCCACAAATTCCGCATTAATGTTGCATTTTCAGGGGCGTGCTATGTGTGTTTGTTACACTAAAGCTACTGTCCATACCCTCAATTATGAATGATTCATCCAAATCCATCTGAAATGCATGTATATTGCGATTTATAGAAAGGAACTGGATAGATATGTATTTGACTTTAAATTACCATAGCCAATTATAATAAAGTGTTTAAGTTGTGTGAAAACAAAACTAACAAGTTACCTTAGACACTGGTAATACTTTAAACTATTTAAAAATAAGTGGGAATAAACTTGTAAGAGTGAAAACTACCTTTCAAACCTTGAACAACAATATGCGGGAAACTTCTTAATATGATTTATTAAGAGTGATCATAGTCGTACATGTCAGAAATAGAAAGTCAATGAATTTCTGAGGATATAAAACCGTGTTTTAAATAGCAGAATGAAATCAACGGTAAGTTTAAATCTTTTAACAGGTTGAAATTAGTTACATTGTGTATCTGCAAAAAAATCTTGTAATGATCTTTCGAGGTTTATTGATACGTGACGTTATATAACGGTCACGTCAAAACTAACAAAAATGCAGTTGAACTTAATATAAGAAATTTATAGTACATATGTAATATTTTAACTTTATATCTTAAAAAAAAACAACGAATGGTTAGTGAAGATGAGGTTTGTTAGTTGATTATTCCTATCAAGACTTTCTGATTCGTATAAACAGCCACTTCATGCCGGTATTTTCGTAGACAGTGAAAACATGATGAAGCTCCATTTATATGCAGTTTTAGTTACTTATATAGAATTAAAACATGCTCTTGTGACACAATATCTGCACATTATGCACAATAAAATTTGGAACATATGACAAAAACACAATAAAAATCATCAAAAGTGACTCGCAAGTTATGGTTCAGTGAAAACGCAAGTAGGGTACAGATCATTAAAATTGTTTTTGCAAGACGGGTACAGTTATCAGAAATGTCGTCTCTATTATTTACTATGTTTTATCAATATTCAAATATATTTTCACAAGTTTCTGTCCGGTAACATAAGGTTAAGAATATAAAGACTTAGTAAAGATTCGGATACGAGTTATGGTGAAGTAAAACAATTTTAGGCATTAATTTGCTTGTGTAACCGGCGTGTGTTGACATACACAAAACACGAAGCGAAGAGCACAGCGTTTTATGCGCATATATTTTATGAAGAAGGGTATGGATGTATATATAAGCAAAGATAAAGCATTTCTCAATATGATTCAAATGTTAACATACCGTAACATATTACATTCACGCCGATCTTTAATAGTTGAATGTGTCACCCCGCCCGATTTCACGTTTAGATGCTGAGATCTTCTCACAAGATCCGGTTGGGGTTCAAATCGTTTATATACTGTGAAATCCCTATAAATGTTAACAGTGCCTTGAAAACAGACAGTTTTAGAGAATAAAAAGTGCTATGCTTCATGTAAGAAAATAATTATTACTGTCTTTCCGGGGCCATTTTTTGTTATTCAGTAAGTTAAGTAAGTGTTCAAGAAAAATCATTCCCAAAAGATATATCAAGAATAAATTCAATTGTTGATAAAATATGATAACAAAAAATGAATAAGAAAATAAAGTATTTGGCTTCTCATTTTATTTAAAAATTGCTCAGCAAGACTTCTTTCTTACATAAACCACAGCACAGTAGTGTGATCAAACCATGAAATAGCAAAACTATATAACACTTACGTAAAAACAATGGAACGTGACGTCATATTCATGTATATTATAATCCCAAACTCATAGTCTGGAAGAAAATATCAGATAGCGAAAAACGCCCTAATGTTAACGTTTCACTATGGGCGCATCAATGAAAAATATGATTCATAAATGTAAATGGTTCTTATTTTGAATATATGATAAATAGTATATTACTAGTATATTCGTTATATTCTTCATTTATTGTACCAATTCTTATTTAATACCTTTTATGTAATATTGGGTTGTCTATGATCGGAAGAATAATTGGAAGTATCAAAAGAGTATTATACGTCAATCATATGTCGATCATATGTTGATCTTTTCAGTAATGCTTTTGTTCTTAATTATTACATTTCGACACTTTCAGTTTCTCTGACACTTAAGATTTAAACTGATAAATTAAATAACAATCGTTCAACAGAATAACCTTTTTCTGGATATGCTCACTTGCTTGACAAAGAAATACTTGGCAAGAACAATGTAATATACTTCATGATAATGACATGACCTGCGCATTGCTATTATATGTCAATTTTCTTTAATTTTAATTTTTAACCTGGGCGTTCAAAACGTACTTGGATTATAAAATTGGTTACTAATCACTTAATATTTGTAATTTTTATTTAAATTATCGAATCACTCTTTGTCTAGCATCAATTAAGTTATTTCTTATTCATGCGAATTTTAATTTAGTAGCAGAAAACATAATTGGATATTTTTGTTTGTTGTATTTTCCTTCAAATGAATCATTTATATGAAATATGAAACTTCCAACTTCGTCAATCATTGCGCTTATTTTTATACCACGCACTGCTTTGTCCTGTAAATAATTGACAAATAGTGTTTGAATATCAACTCCCACATACTGAATAAATATTTGACTGCGATAATCGTTAAGTGGTGTCAGGCTATTATAACTGAAACGGCTAAATGTGAAAAATTCAATGTTTAGCTTTAATTACATAGATGCTTTTGTTCCCTTTGGCACATTGATTAAATTTTTCCATTATTATAAAGGGCAAACATAATTTTTATAACGTTTAAATAATGTTTTTTTTGGCATGATAAATGCACATCACCTTTCGAGGTAGTGCTTAATGTGAAATAAATTGTTTGAAAGATGGGAAAATGAAAACAAAGTACTATCTTGTCTTCCAAACAAAATACTAAGCCATTATAACTGTACTACTTGCCAACAAGCAACATATGCATAAAATGGTGTAAATATTGACCAATGAGTAACTTATGGGAACTTGAAAAGGATATCAAAAAAAGGAGCTTTAAAGATCCATTATGCCTCAAATGTTTTTACTTATACTTTTGAAAAGCTTTATATATTTGGTGTACCTTTGGTGTTCTTATATAGATTCCATGAATCTTTTTCATCTGTTGCTTTTCTTGCAATAAGTACACTTAAAGTGAATAAGTAGTTAATATGGAACTAAAAATACTTCTTTGTTTATATTTTCCTTCTTGGATGACATATTATTTCACATTTATAACTATTTCCTTTAGGGATGTCATTTATCGTCCAAAACTTGAGGCAAAGTTCGTTGTTTGACGTCAAGGTTGTAACGAAAGTTAAACAGCACAACCACATTTTAGCAAATTTAGATTATTGTTGTATAACCTTGCTTGCTATTTTCAGGGGAATAAAACAAATCAATCTCTTTTTCTATATATCATCCAAAGATGTAACATGTTAGATGAATAAGATAAATCTGCCACGAACACATAAATCGACAGTTTAAAATGAGGTAAATACTGTTGTCTAGCAAACTATGTCTATCTATAAATGTATTGACATACATTTATATCAGAAATTTTAGCATCGTTTTCTTTTTATGATTATAAAAAGTCCTCTCATAGATTTCTCTTTGCTGTAAAAACTTATATAAACAAAATGCTTTATTTTATATTAACTCATAAATTAAGCATATTGTATCAAGTTGAACGTATATTATTTTTTTTACAATTTTAACATCATCGTTAGATGAAATTCATAATGCTTATTGTTACCTTCCTTGACTAGAAATGATTAAGGCAGGCTATTGTGTTTTGTTCAGTAGTGAAACACAAAGTATGACACTATGGCTATATTTTTACGCATAGGGGACCACAAGAAGATGCTACATTCCAATTATGTCTAAGTTCTTTGAATTAAATTTTCAGATAAGAAGTTTATATTAGTCTATGTAAAATAAGTAACGGGCATGGTTTATATAACTGCTGCATTTATCATTCAAAGCTCCATGCTTACTTTAAATTCTTGACATTACAACTACAAGCACATTAAAATGTTCTTTTCTATTTAAGTCTAATAACCCTATGGGCTGGATCAATTTTAAAACACACTGTCATGTTTTTAGAAAAATATTGTTGCGTCACAAAATAATGCTGCATGCAAATATTTAAATTCTGTGTATTGTAGTTTCTAAAAAGAGTGTTCTTAAATATTTCATTTGTCAAGTCTATTACAGCTTTTGTCAAAGACTTGAGTTTAATAATTACGAGGAA